CTAAGTGCTGGGCATTCAGCAGTGAAGTAAAGGGCCAAAAATCTTTACCCACATGGAGTTTATTTTCCAAAATTGAGGGGAAGTGGATTGGGTGATGTTATGGTTGATACACTGAGTCAATTTGAGTCTAGAAGCTTACCTAAGTAACTCAGCAGCTCTACATCCTGAAATGGGGTGAAAAGGACATACCCTACTGTTCTAGGATGTAGCTCTGTGTCAACTTGAGAAGTTTAAAGGTCAACTAAGTGATTGAGGCCAGGCTCCTTACTCTGTAAATATCCTCAGCTTGCAGAAGAGGAGAGCAAGGAGACTGTGTGGGCGTGGGCGGATGGCCGATATACAATATAAAGGAGGAAAAGAGACTTGTTTCTCCCTTTTGCTCTTGCTGCTCTTGCTGTCTTCTGCTGCCTTGAACTGTTGAGCCTGTGCCCTGCCACCCTGCCTTGGAGCCAGCTAATTATGGACTGTGAGCTAAATAAACCTTTCCTTCCTTAATTTGGGGTGTCAGGTATTTTGTTCCAGCAACAAGAGAAAAGTAACTAAGACAGATAAGTCATGCAAATACCAGAAATTCATTTTAGCCCTAAATTTCCTAGCAAAGCCAGCTCTGAAAAATATTATCAAACCAAGAGTTCTATCATTTCATACCCAGTCAGACTCTAGCCTGCTCTGCACCATGTTCAGCAGGATCCTCTCACCCCCTCCCCAAATGACTTACTCTGTACTCTGTGTGATCGACTGAATTTCAGGCTCTTGGGGTGGTGCTCACTAATATGTTTTGTTCTAAAAAGCTCTCTGTGGTTCCAGTGACCAGCCAGCCGGCTTCAGTTCTCTCCTCTCTGTAACCCGCCATCAGCGTTTAGCCAGTGTGTATCATCTTCCCCAGATCTTGCTCACTGCATGCCAAGGTGATACTGTTTAAAAATTGGATGCAGTAACTTTATTCCAATAACTTCATAATACTAACAGTGTGATATTTGCAGAGTGCTTTTCATTTACAGAGCATTTTCACAGATCATAACCATTTTATTCATACTATAAGCCCATGAGATAGGCAGAATAAGTTTTATTTCTCTCTTTTTATTACTGAAGACACTAAATGTTAAATGTCCTATAAGGAAGAGCAGTGCCAGCCTGAGAATCCTTCTAACTCCTTGAGAGTGTCATCTTCCCTGCACTTTGCCTTTCTCTCCAGACAGAATTTTAATTATTTTGAGAATATTTAATTATAGTAACTCTAATGGTGGAAATGCTGGGCTCCAAACTTTGTACTTGTGGAAAACATAGCCGAGGGTAAGCATGTCCTGGGCACCTTAAATCAACTAGATAAATTTTCTTTTCCACCTTCAGGTAGAGTCAATGCTGCTGGAATCACTATCAGGTAATAGATATGTGACTGATTAGACCAAGGAATACAACCCAAGGGCCTGAGTTCATTGGCAGCTGGGTTACTTTCTGTACGTTTCAGTGAAGCAGCCACCTCCTTCTTTCTACACACTGACTGCTAGAAGCCAACTGCCACCACCCTACCCCACTCCAGTCACACCTCCACTCAGCAGTCAGGATCCTGATCCTACCTTTCACCCTTCCCACCCCCATCTCCGTATCTGATACTGCGCAAGTGACATACAACTTACTGTCTGACCAGAACAATTCTGAGAGGAGCGGGCACATTTATTCAGTATATCAGGACAAGTGTTAATCAAGATAGTCCTGAGTAAAACATGACTCTATTTATTACCACCAAATTTTATTCTTTAAAAAAAAAAAAAAAAACTTGATTGAATTATACCTTGTTTTCTTTTCTTGGTGTGTTCCTGATAAAGATTCCAGCACATGATAGTGTATCTTACTTTTAACAATACAAACAAAAGAAGCCTTAAAAAACTGTATGTTATGTAAATGAAATTTCAAATGCATGGGAAAGCTGGCTAATTAAGGAACAGCATAAATTAAGGAAATGCTTAAAAAAACCTTTCGAAAAATGTCTTCCGGACTGGAGATATAGCTCAGTGGCACAAGCGCCTGCCTGGCAAGCGCCTGCCTGGCAAGCGCAAGGTCCCAAGTTCGATTCCCAGTACAAAAAAAAAAAAAAAAAGAAAAGAAAAGAAAAAGAAAAATGTCTTCCTAGCTCTTATGTAAGGTTGTCAGTTGAAATTTCTTGCTTTGCTTCAATAATATATGGCAATATGTATTGGCCAGCGCTCCACATAGTAGAGTCATTCCCACAGAAACCCTGCGGAGCAGTATAACAGGGTGCACACCCAAGCAGAAGCTGCCTTATTAAGGCATCCTCAAAATGCCCAGACTAGCAACAAAATCTCTATTCATATCGTTTGCTTTGTTTTTTAACACTGTAAAATAACATTTGCTTACTTTGTAAAATATAAAAAAAGGAAAAAGCAGGAAAACAATCACCACTATCACAACCTCCCCAATAACCATCATCAGCATTCTAGTATATTTATATACTATTTATTCCAAATTGTTGTACTTGTACAACTATTTTATACTTAGCTGTGATGACACTGTACATAAAGTGCATCCTGCTTTGTATTTACATGTATTTCCCTCTGCCATTAGAAACTACTTATCAGCATAATTTTAAATAACTGATCATTTTAAATAATCATTTGTGGGAAACACTTTGTTTCCTTATATTCCTAGTTGGTAGAGAAAATTTAGAGTGTTTCTAACTTACCATTATTGTGAATAATGTCACAATGAACAGTTTATACTAAAAGCTTTTTCAGTAGTTAATGTTTCTTGAATCTAGATTTCAGAAAATTCTCTTAAAATATGTGAACGTATTTAAGGTACTTGTTGTATATTAAAAGTGGTCTTCCAACAGGCTTTTAATCCAGTTTCTATAACATCAACAATGACTATATCCCTTACCTGAACTATTTTCATATAAGAAATATATGGTTTTTGTTTTGCATTTCTTAATTTCTGAAAAGACTTTGCTCTTCTCTATGCACTGGCATTCCACAAATAGTACTTCTGTGCATATCATTTGTTCCTATCTTTCCTATATACAAGAATTTTTCCTAAAATATTGTGCCTATCTTTCCTATATACAGTTTGTTCCTATATACAGTTTGTTCTATATATACAGTTTGTTCTTATATACAGTTTGTTCCTATATACAATTTGTTCCTATATATGGGAATTTTTACTAAAAGTACAAATTATAAATATCTGTAAGATACTTTAGAGTTCTTTATGTTTAAACTTAATTTAAAATTAAGAATTATATGAGTTATGGAATAAGAATGATACACAATTTTCTATAGTGAGAACTTCAAGCATGAGTATATAAGCAATGAAGTAGTGGTATTCAGTGAGATCCTTAATTTCCATCCTCTTGGGGAGCTGTCAAGACTTTAAGCCTTGGAGGCAGCTAAGATAGGTGTCTCAGTCATAGACAGTGTGCATCATAGTCTGTACTCGTGGTCTGAGTTTCCTCCTTGCCCTCCTCTGTGCTTTGAAGTTTGATTATTTCATGCCTTGGTGTTGTAGAACTTGAACAGACATTATCACCATTTTTGCACACAAGACAACAGAGTTTCAGTGAAACATAGGCTTGTTCAAGATCACAGAGGTAGTAAAAGAGCTGAACCATTTCTGATTCAAAAACCTTATGTTTTTTCCATTAGTGTGTTTTTACCTGAAGGCAGAGATTTAAATCATTCAAGAAAAGAAGGAAGGGGCTGGGGATTTAGCTCAGCAGCAAAAGCTCCTGCCTGGCAAGCACAAGGTCGTGAGTTCGGTTCCCGGTACCGGAGAAAAACCATTACACGTAAGTTCATGTAAGCGCTCCAGATAAATGAATATATATTCTCTGAAACCAAAAAAAAAAAAAAAAAAAAGAAAAGAAGGAAGTAAGGACTCAAAAAGCTATTTAAAATAGCAGCCATTAGGATTAGAGATGGCTTAGCCAAACCACACTGAGCTCCAATAACATAAAAGCATTCATTTCATATTCTCTGGATTTTACTTTTCAATGTTTATAAAAATTCTTATGAATCCAAAACCTGGTTCTTTTAAGTACTCTTTTCCCTGAGAGGCAATTTAACACAGTGGATAAGAGGGGTGGCTCAGAAATCCACCTGCTTGAATTTTAATCCCAGTTTTGCCATTTGCTCCCTGTGTAACCTAGGAACAAGACTCAGTTCTGTGCCTGTTTCCTCATCTGTAAAGAGAAGATGATAACCACAGTGGTTAGCACATAGAGTTGGAAGGAGGAATAAATGAGTTAATGATACATGTAAACCACTTGAAATAGTGACTGGCGCAAGGAAACTACTCAAATACTGTTATTTGTTGCTGCCATTATACATATTAATTCATTTAACCTCATGACAACTCTATGACTCTGTATCAACTCTACCATGATCCCCCTCTTACTGTTGAGAAAATGAAAGTTTTACTAATTTATAAAAACATAAGGAAGTAGTTAAACTTTTAAAAAAACAAGAAAGGATCTCTGATTACAGGTGTGAACCAGATTTAAAAAACAATACATCAATGAAATATAAAAGTTAAAGGATATAAGTTATATTTTACATCAAGAACAATTAAGGAACACTAGACACTAACAGATATATGCACATATGAAATTTTTAAATGGCTTTCTTTATATCATGAAGATATCTTAGAAAAAGACTCTCTCTAACCCAAAGGAATAACAAGAATGCTGACAGATATAATTTAAAAGCCACTTAGCCTTGATCGGCTTGAAGGCTTGCTTTTAGATGCCTATGACTCAAATCTGTAAATAATTAATATGTGCATTAAATATATCTTGTGCACCAACATATACTTTCATTTTGAATGAAAAGTGCGCACACTTCAAACATTTTTCTTTTAAAAATCAATCTTGAGAACAACCATGCATCAAAAAGGAAGTCAATACAACTAAAATATTTGTGTAAGTAATGTCCTTAAGAAATAAGGCATTAGAGGAAACAGTTACACATATCTTCCTCTTTTCCCAGATGCAGGGGAAGACTTAACTGTGGAATGATCTCCTGCTAAGCCCTAAGCTCTAGGAACTTGGGCCAGGGAAACAGGTAGGCAGAGGCCGGGGATTATTGCAATGTAAAGACCTAGAAAAATTGTCCACTTAATGGCAGTCTGCCTGTAAGAACCTTAGAGAAAGAGACGATGGATAGTGAAGAAAGAGCAAAAATACAGATGTGGCGGGGAGTGAAAGGAATGGATATGGGTAGAGGACCAAAATGAGAGAGGAGTCAAAACAGATAGGTTCATTTATTTCAAAAAGAAATCAAGCTAGGTGTGGTGGCACATGCCTGTAATCCCAGCATTCAGGAGGCAGGAGGATTGCCATGAGTTCGAGGCCAGCATGGGCTACATAAGCGAGCTCAAGGCCAGCCTGCGCTACACAACAAAACTCTGTCTCAGAAAAACAAAAGAAAGGAAAAGAAATCAAGCTCCTAAGAGATTCGTGGGCTGTGGTACAAACATGTGAAATGGCTTATTTCTAAGAACACTAAACTATTGAGTACATCTGAATCAAAAAGAATAAAATATGGCACGCACACACACACCACAGACACAAAAATAAGCTTAAGCTTCTTAGTCTGTTGTTTTGTGATTACAATAAATTACACACACTACTGGACAGCAAGCAATTCCCTTATCTACATATGTAAATGTCACCTGTGGCTCACCTGCTTTTTATCTACTGGAGTGATTTAATTACTAAGACAGCTACATTTGCAAATCTGCAGAAGTTAATGTTACCCTCAAGCAGCCTAGCTATAAAGGCTGTATGTATTCCGAGTATTTTGTATACTCTTTAGCTTCCTAGATTCCCTTTGGTTATCTTAGAATAACTGAAAGTCAAGTTAGTTTTGAATCTCCTTATGAAGGAAGCACTGCACAGAAAGAGAAGATTCAGGCGGGTGGGGATAGAGAATAGCCTTGCAAAGGAAAGATTTGTTAGTCCACCCCAAAGAGAATGACTGCTGCTTCTTGATCTTTTTTCTGAATACACTGTGCCATTTCACAGCTTTGCATTAATGCTGCTCATTTTAGCAGAGTATAGTAGATTTTAGTCATCTCTTCTTGCCTAGCAGTGATTTGTTTGTTTGTCTGCTCTTCTGGACAGTGAATTCCTTGGAGGCAGAGAAGGAGAGTCAGGAGAGTCAGTCGTTCAGCTGTTCATTCCAATCTCTTGGCACCAGGCCCAACATATCAAATATATTTTTTTCATTTTCTTTTTTTGTTTGAATGTTTAATGAAACTTGCTACATAGTGAAACTTTATGACTTATGAAACTTTCTATCTGAACCATAACTTAAGCTAGAATACATTGTCTTCCACCTCAAATCCCTTAACTCCTAGAGAGTAAATGGAAATTTATGTCACCAAATGTTAACAATTCTTTTTGAGTGGTAGAATCTAGGATATTTTTGTCCTTCTCTTTTATATTTTCTCATTTGTTGTAACTTTTACAGAGAGCATGTTGTCATTTTAACAAAACAATAATAACATTTTCAAGAACTGCAGGAGTTATTTAGAGCAATGTACAGAAGGAGAACCATAATTGGTAACTAATAGTACTCTGAAAGTCCTTAAGCTTAAGGTTGGCATCATAGAGACTACTGCAGCTGTCCAAGTAGACAGCGGATTGGAAGGAATCATAAATAACACTGATCTAGTGAAGCAATATGTCCTAGTTTAAACGTGTGCAAAGGGAAATGACAACTGGCCTTGGAAGCTCCTGGTTTCATCTCATTGTGAACTGGTTTTTCTGTGAGGAAACAGAGCTCTGAATAAGAACAAAACGATGTGTATAGGAGGTGAGACAATTGCATACTACCACCCACGGTTTTACCAGTCTGCGTGGTATGTGGCACAACTAGTTCCTGGTAGAGCTCAAACATTCATCACCTCAGAATCCTCTTTCCTCATAAGTGGACAAAAACCCACTTTCAGTCCTGAATTTAAAACGTGAAATGTTCATTCATGAAATTCAAACCCTTCTCAGAAAGACTGTCTACATGTAAATGTTTGTGCCTATCAGTATTTCTTTACCGAAGTTGTCATGTGCCATCAAAGGAACCTGCCTCCAAAGCTATTCATTTCCAGAATGTTCCTCTATTTGACACCCCACAAGTTTCATACCCTCCATTATAGAAGGTGAGGGAGGGTCATGCTTTTTGTTGTCAAGTGGGAAAAAAACAATTATTAAAGGTAAAAAAACAGATTAATTACAGGAGAAAGTATATATAAGGAAGCCATGGGTCTGAAAACTCCTATGTACACTCACAGGTATGTGCACCCCAATTTGAAAAACATTCCCTTAGTCTCCCCTCTCCCAATATCCACCCCTTCCCTTCACTCATACCTGTGAAACTGAAGCCTACCCCAAATGACCTACCCCAAACTACAGTCTAAGTCTTCAAATTGCCAACCAGTGAGTTATCAGCTCTACTAAACTGCTTTTCATTGTGACCTTGGATAAATATTTTAATCTCATTGAGGTTTATTTTTCCTACTTGCAAAACGGAAGGAGTGGAAGAAGATAATCTCTGTGCTGGATTCCTTTCCTTTATTCCTCCAGACCCACTTTCCAGCCTTCTCCACTCTGCACTGGGCCCCACCAGGTGGGTATGTTTCAGATGCATCACTGGGCTTTCTTACCTCTGGCTTCTGGTTGGGTGCAGTCAATGGGAGCCTCTGGCAGGAACTTGAAAGGCGGAAAGTGAGTCAGAGTGGCCCGTCTATTAACTAGCTCTCCTGTGTCTAGTTGTGTCGTACCCATATCTGGCATCTTCTTCATTTAGCTGACCTCTCTGGGTTCCAGTGACTTATCCCTTCCCTCTCTCACACAGAGGGTGACAATTCCACCACACTGGAACCTCCCATCTGCCTCTTTGTGCTATTATTTACCAGTTGAGTGAAATCTTTTTTCTAGGAAAGGAGAAGAACCAGAGACAGCTCACCATCCTCACCTTCCTTAATCCTTTAAAAAATGTTTTTGAAAAGAACAATTTGGGAAGAATTGGAGGTGAAGCACATTTTGGGGAAAAGTTAAATTTGGGGTATGTTGCATTTGAGATGTGGAACTGGGTGAAAGATATGGGGTGGAAGTATAAATTAGAAGTGGGGTGAAATCAGATTTTTATTGCATATGATTAAATATGAAAATATGGATGTTATTTTTAAAATATAAAACTATATGAAACAAACCTGAAGTTTCTCCTTCCCTCTCTTACCCCAAACCCTGTACTGTCCCCCAGCAGTACCACTGTTCAGGTGCTATTATATGTTACAAACCTGAAAAGACATCTGAAGAATATTCGGTCCACCAGATTAGAGAACCAGGATCAACAAGTCTTTTTCATTGCCAAATACATTTCACTACATAAAAAGGTATAAAATCATCCACATATGTATGCATAAATTTTTCCTATGTACCTATAGCTTCCCTCTACCTTTGGAGTAATATTATTTCTACCACCTTCTACCGCTGTTGTTTAAGTAACAGAATTTCACAGTGGCTTGGAATAAACAGGATTTTTGTATGATTTTCATGAAATTGGACAGATTTATAATCAGTTCTATATTGTAATTTTTTCTTTAGTGATCTGGAATGTATTTGTGCTGAGTGGTACACTCCATTTAAGAAATGTCATTGATTATAAAGTCCAGGATACAGTTTCAGTACACTTTCAGACTACAGTAATAATTCTGTAAGACTCGAAGCTTTTATCTCTAAAATTGAACAAAGTTTTCATAGCTCTCATTAGGAAAGGATAACTTTCATAATTTGAACTAATGCATTTCTGTTTTGTTGAGTTGGGAATTTCTCTATGCAAGGAAAGTAATGATGACTCCTCAAATACCTAGTTTCTTATGGGTTTAGAGCTGCAGCTATAATAAGACTCAGTTTCTCTAGTCCTAACCATTTACCATTTCTCCCCTAAAATCAAAAAGAGAAAATAGTAGAAGAGGTTTCCCTTTTGGTTTGATTTTGGCAGATTCTACATCCAAAGACATATTGTAGTAGAAATTTTGGAAGATAGGTACAGCATCTCAAAAAAAAAAAAAAAGAAAGAAAGAAAGAAAGAGAGAGAAGAAAAGAAAAAAGAAAGAAAAGAAACCTCTATACACATGAGTTATCCTAGTCAGCTGTTCTTGTATGACTGGCAGTCAGTAAGTAGGAAAAGCACCCACAAGCATCACATGAGTTCTCAAGCGGTTTACCATCTAACTGAGCCAGGAAAAATTTACAATAAGAAAAAGATCAATCTGAATAGTTCTGAAATCAACTGAACCAAGGAATTCTGCTGTGGAAGCCAATAAAATTAATTAATGGCTCTTCTCTGCGTTTTACTCTATAAATCCTCACCCTTTGGCACTGACTTTCTTTTTTTCTAGAGAGATCCAGCACATACTCACAAAATGAGTATATGCCAAGGGCAAATGCTAGCAGAAAATCTGAGCATCAGCTAATCATATTTAATTCAACTACTCGTTTTTTTGTGGGAACATGAACTTTTATCTGTGCTTTTACTCTGCATTCATTTTTGCCTCAGACATATTCCTATTTGCAGGATCAAATAAAACATCAAAGTTTCATGGCTCCCCATGTCACGAGTGCTGGCAAATCTTGACTGTAGATTTGAGTGGATTAAGACCCTCCTGGAGAAGTGCTTGCGTTGTGAGGGCACTAATCTCATCCACAGGTGAGCCCACTGATGAGCTCACAGCTGGACAGGCTACTGGGAGTTAGAGGGGTTGGAGGAAGTGACATGGGGCATGACCACCTTTGGTCCCTGGCCCCTTCCCTGGCTCTTCTGCTCTCTGCTTTCTGGATGTCATGATTTGAGCAGCTTTTTTCCACCATACCATTCCAGCACGATGTGTCCACCTTGGTGCCAGCCAACCATGGGGTGAAACCTCTGAAACTACAAGCTAAAATAAATCTCTCCTCCTTTAAATGGCAAATGTCAAGTATTTTGTCCCAGCGAAGAACCCGACCAATATATATTTCTCAAATTTGAAACAAATTTGAGAATCATGTTCTGCAGTATTTGTTATCTGAGCAAACAAGCTGCTCAAAGGACAGTGTCCACGTATGACTTCTCTTCCCTTCTCCAGCCCTGCCCCCAGCTGCTTCTCCCTCTGGTGGAGGTTTTCCTCAGGTTCCCCATCACCATCCTCCCTCTGCATTCTACTTACCACCATTCTAATTCATGCCCAAACGACCATAAAAGAACCTCCAAGTGGACCCCCTTGCTATAGTCCCTGCCCATTCTAATCTAACACACATTCTTTGCAAACACATTTTTCTGAAACACAAATTTTTTTCCATTCAAAAATACTTATTAAGTCCTTGTTCCCTATTTAATAATGTCTAAATGTCAAGTTCAGAATCAACTCCTCCAAAATATTGCCATTTCTGGTCTTTGGTTAATATTAAAACACAGAGTTGTTCTTATATATAACTATTGTAATAGTTAGAGTCTGGGACACAATATCAGGTACCTACAATTTAATGGAGGAAAGATTTAACTTGTGTGATGGTTTCAGGGGATTCAGTCCATGATCGCTTGATTCCAAGATAGAATGGCAGAAGGACATGGCAGAGCAAAACTGCTTAGCTCATGGTGGCTGGGAAGTACTGCTGGGGAAGAGCACCAGAGAAGAAGTGTCAAAGGACCACATCTAGACCCCACTGTCGCTCCTCCATGATCCACCCAGACATACCCAGAAGTGTGTTTATTAATTCTCTCAGCATCTCCCAAACCAATCAAATTGACACAGTTAAACTTAGCCACCACAGCCATATTTAACCAAGCACTCAAAAGAAATTTGGCAAGAAATTTATCAAAACAATGAAGTAAATAAATCTGTGTAAAATTAATCTAGAGCTTTAGGGGATGGTAGTGACTCTCTAAATTTGTTATTGTTTTCTATTACTTAAGGAGCAAAAGGTAATTTGGCAATCAGTGGGTGGTTTTGAGTATTCCTTTTACTTGGAAACAATCACTTCTCTTTTCTGAATAGTTCTATCATTGGAGGTTTACTGAAACTAAAGACAAATGTGCTTACCTGGACTGTTGAATATCAGGAACAAGACAAGGGTGTCCGCTGTCACCACTCCTGTTCAATATAG